GGGAGGAGGGGTATGGCGAGGGAGGTGGTACTGTCGTGGGGTGGCGGTCCTATGTGGATTCAGTGTGTGTGGTCGGATGGGAGGGGTAGGTCGGGATTAGGTGATGTGGTGTTTCGCTCTCACCACCTTTGTTGGAGTTTGTGTATGTTGTCGAATTCACTGTGGGAAGGGTTTGAGTTCACTACTACAGGATAAACAGCGCTTTGTCGGACTGATTTAGAGTGGCAATTGTTCAATCGCAGTTCTTTCCTAATCGTCCTCTTTTGCCCTATCTAGGACAGTCTTCTACTGTAGAACGATCCTCTAGGGGTGGCGGAAAGTAGAGGATGTCCGTGTTTGTCTTCCTCAACAGTGTGTGTTCTAAACTCGGATGAAGACAGTAATATGTGTTTGTTTGCTCTAATGAGCGTCTGGCTTGGCAAGAAAACTACCACTGACTTGTCTCAGCTATTCCTTTTTAAGCGACCAAGGCTAAGAACAAAGCGTCTGACCTGACAGGAAACTCGATGGCGGTAGGGATGTAGTTTGTAGATTGGTCCGTCTTCTCCTCTTGGCGTGATGATGGCGACTTCTTGTTTGATCTCTTGTCATTTGGTGCTTTTCTCGTCTCCCCTTGCTCGGTGGATTTGTTGGATGGCGGGCGGGAAGTCGGTACTTACCTGGAAATTCCAACGGGAACGCTCTGATCTTGTGGGGTGCAATGATGAGGCTGTTAGGCACTAAGATTCTCCTTGCTTCCCGCTTGGCTGCTGTTCTTGTTTGTCTCTTGCTTGGTCTGTCCTTCTTTTCCCCAATTAGAAGGTTTCTATCACCACCCTCTACTCCTCTCCCTCCTATGCTTGCTTTGTCTTTTCTTTTGCTTAGGAGAGATACTTCCGCCTGATCCTCTACTTCTCGCCTTCCTCTCACATTTCCTTCTTTCTCCTTCCCTTGTCATTGTTTCCCTTGTTAGACTTGGAGAGGCCACACCCGTGGGCGTGGCGCTACTTGGAAGAGTGAGTTTTCTCGCCCCAGGTGGTTCGTGTTACGCTGGTAGATACAAATTGGGGGCACGTGCGTCTGCGCGTGGTGTCGCACGCTCGCGCGTTGCCCGCGGCGAAAGAATGGCCGTGGGCAGTGCGTGCGGTGGCGCGCTATGGTGGGTGCGAGAATTAGCGGAGCCTTGCAGCGCTAACCGGTCACGGCGCTGGCGCCGCTTGGCCTATATTTCAAGTCCCGTTGTTTAGTTTATTTCTGCTTGTGTGCACACTTCAGCATA